GAATGGGTCGGCACTTCCACTGTCCTCTCGGGCCCCAGCAGCGTAGCGTGCCGGTGCTGTGGTCAAGCCTGGGGGCAGGCCCAAGTCACTGACGTGCTGGTCGTAGCAAAACAGGGACCTGATGTTCGGCGCCTGGGGGCGGACGACCGGGCCCAACCCAGCCGTGGTAGCTGGGGGGCCGGCGTCCCGTTGTCCGACGGGGAAGGCCGGCAGGACGACCGCTGGCGAGAGTGATGGGTGTGCTTCAAGCCGAGGCGCGCTGTCGGCCGTGGGGGCCGGCGGCCCCTGTGAGCGGTGGTGCTCGGGTGAGAGCTTGAGGAGCTCTTGGAGGCTGTTAGGCGATGCCTCGGGGGTCTGCGGTCGCGAGGGCACCTGCTGGAGCACCTCCCAGCTGCCAATGTGCCCATCCAGCCGTGCGAGCTCCTCAGGCTCATTCGTCTGCTGCTTGAGGTATCGAGCATGTCGGATGAGGCCGGCGAGCACCTGCTGGGCTTCCTCCCCGAAGCCAGCAGCCACGCTCTGCACAGCGGCCGCATCGCTTGACCCACGGGCCTTCTCCTCCAAGTAGCAGGCCATCATGACTCCTCCCTCATCTCCCTGATGACTATCTCCTGACGCGGGCGCCTCAGAGCTGGCTGCTCGCCCGCCCTCGGCTGACGGCGAACGAGAGCTCCTCCTTGCTGACCCCGAGGGCGGCCGGGGCGAACTGCTGCGATCGAGCCGCCGCCAATGGCTGCGCAGCTTGGCGTCCGCCTCGGTGGCCTGCGCCTCGAAGCTCGGACTGGGTGCCACGCCCCCCTCAGGGTGCCACTTGACTAGGTCGACCACCTTCTCCTTGAGCAGCCGCCAGCGTGCCTCGCTGAGTGGGCCAGCTCGGCCACCCACGGGCAGACCATGCCAAGCTGCCAGCTTGTGCCAAACCTTCTCGGGTACGTTGGTCGCCGAGACGCCGATGCCGAGCTCCTCGCATCCCTGGGGTGCGTGGTGGAGCAGCTCCTCGATGAACCCTGCGGGTAGGCGTCCGGAGGGTCCTGGAGACGGCGCACGGATGACGCCGTCGGGCTTTACGAGGAAGCGGATGGTGACGCCTGCTGGGTCTGCCACCTCGAGCGCCAGCGCACCGTCGAAGTAGTCGGCCACCGTGCTGGCCGCGACGGCATCGACTGCCTTCCCTCTGAAAATCATCCACTGCGCCCCCTCGGGCCAATGCACCCTCGCCCGTAGAATGAAATGTTGTCCAAGGGGCATAGGCGGCTGCGTTGGCGGCTGGGGGCAGCCCGGAACCGGCGGCGCTTCGAAGCGCACGCTCGGTGGTCCAGCCGGCGACGGGACGGGGTCGCCAGGGCTGGAAGGCGCCTCTCGCGCGGAGGGCGGGGGTGCGGTGCGCTCAGGAGTGCGGCTCCTGGCTGGGGCGGCCGCCCGCTCTGGTGTGCGGCTCCGTGCGGCAGGGCTCCGCCGAGCTCGACGCCGTAGTCCTGCGAAGAACCCGACTCCTGCTGGGTTGTCGTGTATTGCACGGGCTGCGTCACCCCCAAGGTGTTGCAGACAGAGAGGAACCCCTGAGGCCATGCCCACCGCTTCCCGGAAGCAGGTCACCTGAGAGCACTTCTCACCGTAGCGCAGGACCATGTAGATCTGCCGGTGGTGCTCGCAGAGGCAGGCCGTTGCGCTCCCCTCACTCGGGAGAGGGAGGTCCGAGGCCCGCCCGTCCTCCACCAGCAGCACGGTGGGGTCCCCTCGTGCCGCATCTCGACAACCCTCGGGAGCCAGTGGGCGCATCTTACCCTTGATCATGAGCCCCACTTTCACCGCCTCGCAAGGGTTGTCCTCGGCATCTACCTCGGACTCGGACTCCTGGTCAAGTAGTCTTGCCACTGACCCCTGCACGCCAGGCTCCGCATCGCCAGATTTAGGACGGCGGCGGCGCCGGCGGCAGAGGCATGCCCCACAACATGAGCACCACGAGAGGATGTACAATAGCAACTTGTAGACGAGACCCGTCCCCCTCCAGAGCCAGACGAAGATCCGGCAGGGCGTGAACTTCGAATAGTCGCCGAGGTCCACGATGGCCTCGTTGTCGAGGGCCGCGTACTCCTTGCAATGCAGCTCGTTCTCGCGCCCCTTGCACCCAGTACAGCTCGAAGAGCGGCACAGGTGAAGCCAGCGAGGATCCCGTTGCTCCAGCTCGCGCCGGAAGCTCTTGTCGCTAGCACCCTTCACGGAATCGTATTCCACCCACAATCCTTGGCGGTTGATGCGTTCAGGAGACTTCATATTGAGCTTGAGCCGGGCAACCCTGTAGTCCACCCGGATCAAGAGGTCGTTCTGGCCGCGCTTGGAGCCCCGGCCTTCCTTGATGCTCTTGCGATACCAGTCAGTCGTCGGGTCCGCCCCGGTAGTCGGCCCATGCCACACCACGTCGGTGAGCGGCGGGGCCGCCGGCGGAACCAGCTTGTCGAGCTTGACTTCGCCAGGCGTGCGGCGCCTCGGGCAAGGGCAGCAGGCCAGCACCAAGCCGCAGGTCCAAGCCGCCCAGCTGCAGGGCGCGAAGAGCGTCCTCAGGCTGTGGGCCAAGAGCGCGACCATCCCGGTGCTGGCGAAGACCGCCACGAGCCCGGCGATCAGCGGCCAGGCGGAGCCGAACAGGGTGAGGCCCATCTGGTCCGTCATGTAGAGCACCCAGCCACCTTCTGAGCTAAGCCAACCTCCTGCCTCGCGAGTCGAAAAGGCAGACCTGAAACTCCCCACGGCTCTGAAGGTACCCCCACCCATCCCCTCGGCAAACCAGTAGGTGCGGTTGCCGATGTCCTTCCAGCTGATACCGAAAAGACCCCAACCCCTGATCCAGGACGACGGATCCCCATCGGGGGGGTCAGGGGGTGGGTGGGTCGGGTCCTGGGGAGGGGGCCCAGCCGGCGGCGCGGAGCGCTCGCGCGGCGGTCCCCCTCCGCTGCTTCCTGCAGGTGCGGCGCGCCCGCCGGTAGTGGAGACCCCGTCCGGCGGCGCGCCCGCGTGCATCGAGGGGTCCACGGGCGCATCGAGCCAGAACTCCCTCATGTCCACGTTGTCGTCGTAGTACGCGGACTCGGCCTCGGCGTCGGCCTCGGCGATCCCGACGGTCATCGCGAAGATCAGCATCAGGGCTGCCACGCGCCCGCGGCGCCGGCCGACCGGCGGCGGCGTCTGAGCCTTGGGGCAGCTCCTCCGGGCGGGCTCCGGCGCGCACGCGCCACTCGCGGCTCCCGCCTGGCACTGCGCCAGCGCCGGCGCGGGCTCACGCCTGGCTACTAGCTCGTCGGGGGGGCTCAGCGGCCCCGCCTCGACGGATGCCACCTCGCCCCTGGGTGCTCCGCGGCTGGCGTGAGCCGGCGCCGCTCGGCGCCCAGGCCCCCCACCGCTGCGCAGCTGCGCGCCCGCGGGCGGCGACGCTGCCGCCCACCAGCCGCGCGGCGCCAGGCGCGGCATCGTGCGGCCGCGGGCGCCCCTGCCAGGCCTGGACCCAGGCCCGGGAGTCTTCTGGCCCCTCCGGGGCCCGGCCTTAGGCCAACTGAGGCCGACCCCCAGCTTGGCCTTAGAAAGGCTTGAGCCGCGGAGCGGCGGTGAAGAGAGAGGGAGAGAGAAAGGGCAAGCAAGAGGCAAGGGCAGGAGCAAGGGAACCGCAAGTGGAAGCCCGCGCCAGTTCTGGGGACGGGGAGATCCATCAGTTTTACCAAACATCCTAAACGCGCTCGGCGAGCACCTGGGGCGCGCCGGCCGCGCCGCCAAAAACAAAGAGCAGGGATCGCAAACTCATCCGCCGCGGCCGGGAGCCCGGAATCCCAGGGGAATACGACACTGCGGGTGGTTTCTGAGGCATTTTTGCTGTTACGCTGACGGCGCGCCGCCGCCAGCGCAACAGCGCGGGACCCCAGGGATCCGAAACCTCGCGCAGGCCCGCTCCTGGAGGAGCGGGGAGCCCATTCTTTGGACTTTGGCCCAGATTTCGTGGGCGACCCCAAGGTCGAGCAGGCCCCGGGGCGCAGAGTTCATGGGGACTTCGGCCCAGGGAGCGGGGCGGGAAGCTGGCGGAAGGCCTGTGGGAGGCCAGTGGGAGCTTGCGGAAGCATGAAAAGCTCCCAGGGGCCAAAGAGTGATCGGGAATGCTCGGGTTTGTCTTCTGCAGGTGCATCCTGAACTTGCAGTTCAAGGTGATACTCATAGCTTTCTGGTCCCCAGATCTGTTAGACCCCCATGCCGCAAGGCATCTTTGGGCCATTTGGCGAGACAGCCAGTGCTGGCCACCCCAAAAGTAGATGTGGGGAGCCTCCGGAAAGCTGTGTAAGGGACCGGGTATCATGCACGCCCGCTGCTGGCTCGGACTTGGCGGACTGGTTTCGTCCTCCTTGTCTCGTGCCAGAAGCGTAGGCCCCCGAGGGAACACGCTCGTTGCGGTGGTGTATGATCCCGCCTGGACTCTTTGTGCGACCCAAAGCGCCAGCTGATCACAGGGTTGCGCACTCCGCGCGGTGAGGGGGGAGCGTTCGGGTGAGGGGGTGATGGTGGTGGGGTGGTCGTTGGCGCCTTGGATTGCACGCCCGCGGCTCTGCGTGGCACTCTGGGGGGTCCAGGTAAACCAGGTCCTCTTAAGTGCCCTGGGCTGTCGCCCGACACGAAAGTGCCGAGCGGGGGCTCATCCTGGGTAGGTTGCAGGCTGGGACATGCGTGTCCGCTCCGCTCTTTGGATCCCCATCAGGAGTCTCTGGAAGCGCCAAAGGGGTTGGTATGCCTAAATGACTCAAGTGGCCTCCGTGTCACCGCTGTGTCGGCCACGTCTATGGTGCTTCCGTGCTCTCTCCGCGTCCCAAGTGCAAGCAATGTTTGAGCGGCGCTGCCGCTGGCGCTTCGGCGCCAGGAGCGTTCGGGCATGTCCTGGTCTGCGGGCTGGCGCCGCGATCAAGTGGCAAGCAAGCGATTAACGTGCCCGAATTCTGCCGCCTGATTTCCATTGGCTCTACACGGCAATGTGTCTGCTGCCGCAGCAGTGGTCGTCCCAGCCGTGGATGGCGGAGTACATCAGGTCTCAAGGCCACAGAGAGGAGCACGTGCAGACCACACTGTGCAAACTACTTCGAAGGCAGGAGTTCGTAGTGAGGCTTGTTCGTGGCGAGGTGTTGTATCGTACGCCTCTCGCGGCCATGGGTCCCATTCCTGGAGCGGACCCCGACCAGACAGCGTTCGTGGCAAAGCTTCTAACCAGCCTTGTTCGAAAGAGCGAGGCCGAGGAGGAAGCGGATTTGGCACTGCTAGACGTACTTCGGCGCGCCCGCCGGCCTCAATTTATCACTGGCGGGCCTGGTTCTGGCAAGAGCCTGGCGTGCCGCCACCTCATGTTGTTGGCTCGGCAGCGCGGCTTCCACGTTCTGCGGGCGAATCCTACGGGTATGCTAGCTCACAGCACCGAGGCCGTGATGGGCGTGCGTTCGCAAACGTTTCATGCGGCCTTCGGCGTGGGCACGATGTCTTTGCCAGACACGGCGGAGAAACTGAAACATTACAACTTGTGGATCATTGGAGAAGTTGGAATGCTCTCACGAGAGCTATTCGACCGCATGTATGCGGTGTACTCGGATTTGGGGCACGAGCCTGTGGTTGTGCTGGAAGGGGACTTTCAGCAGCTCGAGCCCCCAACGGCGAGTGGCGAGGATGCGCGCTGCAGCAGGTACTGGCGATGGGTTCAGACTACGGAGCTGTCCAGGCAGCATCGCTGTGAGGATTCTCGTCTGCGCGCCTTCGCGTCCATCTGCAGGCACAGCATGCCAAACGGCACGCAGATAGCTGAATTTTGGAACGAGCTGTGCATCGGAGACGAGCTCTCTGAGGAGGTTTGCGAGAAGGCGGCAGAGTTCGTAGGTGGCGGATTGATTGTCACAGCTACCAGAGACACCGCTCGTTATATTAATGGACAACTCTTGAAATCCATGGACGGCGTTCGCGCGGTTGCTGTGCCTCTGTGGACAGATAGTGGTGTCGTGAACACTCGGCTCAAGATCGGATGCCGTATGAGGCTAACGCAAAACATCTCTGTATCGAAGGGCTTGGTAAATGGCGCTTCGGGTATTCTCCTGGAAGCATCCCCTCACGCTCTGCTTCTCCGCTTGGATGCCGGTGGCCACGCCATGCTTCACCGGACTTTTTGCTGGGTGGAGACCTTGTCGGGCCGAGCTTATTTGGCCAACGGCTTTGACGCAGAGCTGGGGTGGGCCACCACCGCACACAAAGTAGAGGGCCTCACAATTGCGAAGGTGGTGGTTGTTTTCGAAAAGTTTGCTCCCTTGGCGTGGGGCTACACTGTGTGCACTCGTGTTCGTGGCAGAGATGACCTCCGATGCATTGGGAGGCCCAGCGAAAGGCACTTCAAGCCGCGACGGGAATGACATGAGTGTCTCCGTCAGGCGCGTGGTCAGGTACTGTGGGCGCTGCTCCCCGGAAAAATCCACATCATCCTCTGTCATCCGCTGAGTGTGAAGGCATGTTTACCATTAGTGCCGTCGTCCAACGGCTCTATGGAGCTCGCTTTCGTGAGAAGTACGTTTCCACCATGTATGGAGCATCCTCTAGTTTTTTTTCCGCGGAGGGGATGTAGGACAAAAACATGACAAAACCAATGACTATCAGGAGCTCTGTCTCGTAGTAAGTTATCAAGAATACCATGCTTGCTTCTCTGCGGAGCCCTCTTCATTGGAAGATGCGTTCAGGCTTGAGGGAAGGCTGGAGCAGTGCTCTGGTGGTCCTTCACCCGCCCAGCTCCGTCCCCTCCCACTCTGGACCGATCTGGCGGGAAGCTGGCTTGTGGCAGCTCATCGCGCGTTCACAGCGTTCGTGTGCTTGCTTTTACCTCCTTTAATGTCTGCTCTACCTATCCTTGAGACGCAGAAGCCCCCGAGCGTCGGCTTGGACAAGATCTCGCTGGCGCCAGGGAAGGTACTCCAGAGATGCTTGTGGGAGCGCTCGGGAAAGCACTCCAGAGGTGCCTGCGATAATCTCTGGGAACGCACTTCCAGAGGTGCCTGCGGGAAGACTTCGAAAGGAACTCGAGAGGTGCCTGGGGAAGCGCTCGGGAAGGTTTGGTGGTGCTTGCGGGAGCGCTTGAAAGACACTCCAGGAGTGCCTGCGAGGGCTCAGGAAACAGGTGCCTGCGGGAGCGCTCGATAGACTTTCAGAAGTGCTTGCGCGAGCGCCTGGGAAAGCACTCCGAAGGTGCCTGCGGGAGCGCCCGAAGCACTCCAGAAGTGCTTGCGGCAGCGGGAAGGCACTCTGGAGGTGCCTGCGGGAGCGCTCGGGAAGGCACTCCAGAGGTGTCTGCGGGAGCTCTCGGGAAGGCACTCCAGAGGTGCCTGCGGGAGCACGCGGGGAGGCACTTTGGAGGTGACTGCGGGAGCGCTCGGGAAAGCACTCCCGAGGTGCCTGCGGGAGCGCTCGGGAAGGGACTCCGCAAGTGCCTGCGGGGACGCCTGGGAAGGCACTCCGGAGGTGCCTGCGGTGCGCCCGGGAAGGCATTCCCGAGGTGCCTGCGGGGCGCCTGGGAGGCACTCCAGAGGTGCCTGCGGGAGCGCTCGGGAAAGCACTCCGGAGGTGCCCGCGGGAGCGCATTGGAAGGGACTCCTGAGGTGCCTGCGGGAGCGCTCGGAAAGGCACTGCGGAGGTGCTTGTGGGGGTGGCCCGGGGAGGCACTCGCCAGGTGCCTGCGAAGCACGCCAGGAAGGCACTCCAGAGGTGCCTGTGGGAACGCCCGAGAAAGCTCTCCAGAACTGCGCGCGAACGCGCAGGCCACGCTGGCGCTAGCCGCTGCGCGGATCCACCGCCGCGAGCCAGCGGGCCGCGCCCAGGCTGCGCGCCCGCGGCCGGCGCGCGCGCGGGGGTCTCGGAGCGGCGCCCCAGGCCTGGCTCCAGGCTCGCCCCTGCGAGAGCGCGCGGAGCGCCTAAGTACGGAGCGCGCGCGTCGCGGAAGGTATTTTGCGACCCCCGCCTCTCTGGCAGGAGGTCTTGCGGTGCCGACCCTGCCCGACGGGGTTATCCCAAGCAAACGCGCTCGGCGAGCACCTGGGGCGCGCCGGCCGCGCCGCCAAAAACAAAGAGCAGGGATCGCAAACTCATCCGCCGCGGCCGGGAGCCCGGAATCCCAGGGGAATACGACACTGCGGGTGGTTTCTGAGGCACTTTTGCTGTTACGCTGACGGCGCGCCGCCGCCAGCGCAACAGCGCGGGACCCCAGGGATCCGAAACCTCGCGCAGGCCCGCTCCTGGAGGAGCGGGGAGCCCATTCTTTGGACTTTGGCCCAGATTTCGTGGGCGACCCCAAGGTCGAGCAGGCCCCGGGGCGCAGAGTTCATGGGGACTTCGGCCCAGGGAGCGGGGCGGGAAGCTGGCGGAAGGCTGTGGAAGGCCAGTGGAAGCTTGCGGAAGCATGAAAAGCTCCCAGGGGCCAAGGAGTGATCGGGAATGCTCGGGTTTGTCTTCTGCAGGTACATCCTGAACTTGCAGTTCAAGGTGATACTCATAGCTTTCTGGTCCCCAGATCTGTTAGACCCCCATGCCGCAAGGCATCTTTGGGCCATTTGGCGAGACAGCCAGTGCTGGCCACCCCAAAAGTAGATGTGGGGAGCCTCCGGAAAGCTGTGTAAGGGACCGGGTATCATGCACGCCCGCTGCTGGCTCGGACTTGGCGGACTGGTTTCGTCCTCCTTGTCTCGTGCCAGAAGCGTAGGCCCCCGAGGGAACACGCTCGTTGCGGTGGTGCATGGTCCCGCCTGGACTCTTTGTGCGACCCAAAGCGCCAGCTGATCACAGGGTTGCGCACTCCGCGCGGTGAGGGGGGAGCGTTCGGGTGAGGGGGTGATGGTGGTGGGGTGGTCGTTGGCGCCTTGGATTGCACGCCCGCGGCTCTGCGTGGCACTCTGGGGGGTCCAGGTAAACCACGTCCTCGCGTACGCCGCGGATGGCATCCGAACCCGTCAGGGCCTTAAGTGCCCTGGGCTGTCGCCCGACACGAAAGTGCCGAGCGGGGGCTCATCCTGGGTAGGTTGCAGGCTGGGACATGCGTGTCCGCTCCGCTCTTTGGATCCCCATCAGGAGTCTCTGGAAGCGCCAAAGGGGTTGGTATGCCTAAATGACTCAAGTGGCCTCCGTGTCACCGCTGTGTCGGCCACGTCTATGGTGCTTCCGTGCTCTCTCCGCGTCCCAAGTGCAAGCAATGTTTGAGCGGCGCTGCCGCTGGCGCTTCGGCGCCAGGAGCGTTCGGGCATGTCCTGGTCTGCGGGCTGGCGCCGCGATCAAGTGGCAAGCAAGCGATTCAACGTGCCCGAATTCTGCCGCCTGATTTCCATTGGCTCTACACGGCAATGTGTCTGCTGCCGCAGCAGTGGTCGTCCCAGCCGTGGATGGCGGAGTACATCAGGTCTCAAGGCCACAGAGAGGAGTACGTGCAGACCACACTGTGCAAACTACTTCGAAGGCAGGAGTTCGTAGTGAGGCTTGTTCGTGGCGAGGAGTTGTATCGTACGCCTCTCGCGGCCATGGGTCCCATTCCTGGAGCGGACCCCGACCAGACAGCGTTCGTGGCAAAGCTTCTAACCAGCCTTGTTCGAAAGAGCGAGGCCGAGGAGGAAGCGGATTTGGCACTGCTAGACGTACTTCGGCGCGCCCGCCGGCCTCAATTTATCACTGGCGGGCCTGGTTCTGGCAAGAGCCTGGCGTGCCGCCACCTCATGTTATTGGCTCGGCAGCGCGGCTTCCACGTTCTGCGGGCGAATCCTACGGGTATGCTAGCTCACAGCACCGAGGCCGTGATGGGCGTGCGTTCGCAAACGTTTCATGCGGCCTTCGGCGTGGGCACGATGTCTTTGCCAGACACGGCGGAGAAACTGAAACATTACAACTTGTGGATCATTGGAGAAGTTGGAATGCTCTCACGAGAGCTAGTCGACCGCATGTATGCGGTGTTCTCGGATTTGGGGCACGAGCCTGTGGTTGTGCTGGAAGGGGACTTTCAGCAGCTCGAGCCCCCAACGGCGAGTGGCGAGGATGCGCGCTGCAGCAGGTACTGGCGATGGGTTCAGACTACGGAGCTGTCCAGGCAGCATCGCTGTGAGGATTCTCGTCTGCGCGCCTTCGCGTCCATCTGCAGGCACAGCATGCCAAACGGCACGCAGACAGCTGAATTTTGGAACGAGCTGTGCATCGGAGACGAGCTCTCTGAGGAGGTTTGCGAGAAGGCGGCAGAGTTCGTAGGTGGCGGATTGATTGTCACAGCTACCAGAGACACCGCTCGTTATATTAATGGACAACTCTTGAAATCCATGGACGGCGTTCGCACGGTTGCTGTGCCTCTGTGGACAGATAGTGGTGTCGTGAACACTCGGCTCAAGATCGGATGCCGTATGAGGCTGACGCAAAACATCTCTGTATCGAAGGGCTTGGTAAATGGCGCTTCGGGTATTCTCCTGGAAGCATCCCCTCACGCTCTGCTTCTCCGCTTGGATGCCGGTGGCCACGCCATGCTTCACCGGACTTTTTGCTGGGTGGAGGCCTTGTCGGGCCGAGCTTATTTGGCCAACTGCTTTGACGCAGAGCTGGGGTGGGCCACCACCGCACACAAAGTAGAGGGCCTCACAATTGCGAAGGTGGTGGTTGTTTTCGAAAAGTTTGCTCCCTTGGCGTGGGGCTACACTGTGTGCACTCGTGTTCGTGGCAGAGATGACCTCCGATGCATTGGGAGGCCCAGCGAAAGGCACTTCAAGCCGCGACGGGAATGACATGAGTGTCTCCGTCAGGCGCGTGGTCAGGTACTGTGGGCGCTGCTCCCCGGAAAAATCCACATCATCCTCTGTCATCCGCTGAGTGTGAAGGCATGTTTACCATTAGTGCCGTCGTCCAACGGCTCTATGGAGCTCGCTTTCGTGAGAAGTACGTTTCCACCATGTATGGGGCATCCTCTAGTTTTTTTTTCCGCGGAGGGGATGTAGGACAAAACCATGACAAAACCAATGACTATCAGGAGCTCTGTCTCGTAGTAAGTTATCAAGAATACCATGCTTGCTTCTCTGCGGAGCCCTCTTCATTGGAAGATGCGTTCAGGCTTGAGGGAAGGCTGGAGCAGTGCTCTGGTGGTCCTTCACCCGCCCAGCTCCGTCCCCTCCCACTCTGGACCGATCTGGCGGGAAGCTGGCTTGTGGCAGCTCATCGCGCGTTCACAGCGTTCGTGTGCTTGCTTTTACCTCCTTTAATGTCTGCTCTACCTATCCTTGAGACGCAGAAGCCCCCGAGCGTCGGCTTGGACAAGATCTCGCTGGCGCCAGGGAAGGTACTCCAGAGATGCTTGTGGGAGCGCTCGGGAAAGCACTCCAGAGGTGCCTGCGATAATCTCTGGGAACGCACTTCCAGAGGTGCCTGCGGGAGGACTTCGAAAAGAACTCGAGAGGTGCCTGGGGAAGCGCTCGGGAAGGTTTGGTGGTGCTTGCGGGAGCGCTTGAAAGACACTCCAGGAGTGCCTGCGAGGGCTCAGGAAACAGGTGCCTGCGGGAGCGCTCGATAGACTTACAGAGGTGCTTGCGCGAGCGCCTGGGAAAGCACTCCGAAGGTGCCTGCGGGAGCGCCCGAAGCACTCCAGAAGTGCTTGCGGCAGCGGGAAGGCACTCTGGAGGTGCCTGCGGGAGCGCTCGGGAAGGCATTCCAGAGGTGTCTGCGGGAGCTCTCGGGAAGGCACTCCAGAGGTGCCTGCGGGAGCACGCGGGAAGGCACTTTGGAGGTGGCTGCGGGGGCGCTCGGAAAAGCACTCCCGAAGTGCCTGCGGGAGCGCTCGGGAAGGGACTCCGCAGGTGCCTGCGGGGGCCCCTGGGAAGGCACTCCGGAGGTGCCTGCGGTGCGCCCGGGAAGGCATTCCGGAGGTGCCTGCGGAGCGCCTGGGAGGCACTCCAGAGGTGGCTGCGGGAGCGCTCGGGAAAGCACTCCGGAGGTGCCCGCGGGAGCGCATTGGAAGGGACTCCTGAGGTGCCTGCGGGAGCGCTCGGAAAGGCACTGCGGAGGTGCTTGTGGGGGGGCCCGGGGAGGCACTCGCCAGGTGCCTGCGAGGCACGCCAGGAAGGCACTCCAGAGGTGCCTGTGGGAACGCCCGAGAAAGCTCTCCAGAACTGCGCGCGAACGCGCAGGCCACGCTGGCGCTAGCCGCTGCGCGGATCCACCGCCGCGAGCCAGCGAGCCGCGCCCAGGCTGCGCGCCCGCGGCCGGCGCGCGCGCGGGGGTCTCGGAGGCGCGCCCAGGCCTGGCTCCAGGCTCGCCCCTGCAGAGAGCTCTCGATCGACGTGGCGGAGCGCGCGCGTCGCGGAAGGTATTTTGCGACCCCCTCTCTCTGGCAGGAGAGTCTTGCGGTGCCGACCCTGCCCGACGGGGTTACTCCAAGCAAACGCGCTCGGCGAGCACCTGGGGCGCGCCGGCCGCGGCCGCCAAAAACAAAGAGCAGGGCATCGCAACTCATCCGCCGCGGCCGGGAGCCCGGAATCCCAGGGGAATGCGACACTGCGGTGGTTTCTGAAGCATTTTTGCTGTTACGCTGACGGCGCGCCGCCGCCAGCGCAACAGCGCGGGACCCCAGGGATCCGAAACCTCGCGCAGGCCCGCTCCTGGAGGAGCGGGGAGCCCATTCTTTGGACTTTGGCTCAGATTTCGTGGGCGACCCCAAGGTCGAGCAGGCCCCGGGGCGCAGAGTTCATGGGGACTTCGGCCCAGGGAGCGGGGCGGGAAGCTGGCGGAAGGCCTGTGGAAGGCCAGTGGAAGCTTGCGGAAGCATGAAAAGCTCTCAGGGGCCAAGGAGTGATCGGGAATGCTCGGGTTTGTCTTCTGCAGGTACATCCTGAACTTGCAGTTCAAGGTGATACTCATAGCTTTCTGGTCCCCAGATCTGTTAGACCCCCATGCCGCAAGGCATCTTTGGGCCATTTGGCGAGACAGCCAGTGCTGGCCACCCCAAAAGTAGATGTGGGGAGCCTCCGGAAAGCTGTGTAAGGGACCGGGTATCATGCACGCCCGCTGCTGGCTCGGACTTGGCGGACTGGTTTCGTCCTCCTTGTCTCGTGCCAGAAGCGTAGGCCCCCGAGGGAACACGCTCGTTGCGGTGGTGCATGGTCCCGCCTGGACTCTTTGTGCGACCCAAAGCGCCAGCTGATCACAGGGTTGCGCACTCCGCGCGGTGAGGGGGGAGCGTTCGGGTGAGGGGGTGATGGTGGTGGGGTGGTCGTTGGCGCCTTGGATTGCACGCCCGCGGCTCTGCGTGGCACTCTGGGGGGTCCAGGTAAACCAGGTCCTCGCGTACGCCGCGGATGGCATCCGAACCCGTCAGGGCCTTAAGTGCCCTGGGCTGTCGCCCGACACGAAAGTGCCGAGCGGGGGCTCATCCTGGGTAGGTTGCAGGCTGGGACATGCGTGTCCGCTCCGCTCTTTGGATCCCCATCAGGAGTTTCTGGAAGCGCCAAAGGGGTTGGTATGCCTAAATGACTCAAGTGGCCTCCGTGTCACCGCTGTGTCGGCCACGTCTATGGTGCTTCCGTGCTCTCTCCGCGTCCCAAGTGCAAGCAATGTTTGAGCGGCGCTGCCGCTGGCGCTTCGGCGCCAGGAGCGTTCGGGCATGTCCTGGTCTGCGGGCTGGCGCCGCGATCAAGTGGCAAGCAAAGAGCGTCCCTTCTGGACTCTGCAAGCCTGGGCGCCCGCGCGGCAGCGCGGCCCTTGCGCCAAAAGGCTCTTTGCTTGCGCTTCGCGCGCGCCCAGCCCGGAGATACGTACACCCAGGGTGCGGGCTAGGTAAGCCACTCAGAGTGTCCTGAGCGCAATCCATAACAAAGGGATCCTTTTCTGGAGCACCCTGGACGCTCACGGAGCCGACGCGGGCATTAGGCAATATGGAACTCAGTCTATCGACATCTATGTCCTGCCCCAGGGGGGTGTTCCCAGGAGGAGTAGGAGGAAAAGGAGCGAGGAGTAGGTGGCGACGCATCCTCCGCTGCGTACTCCTGCCTCGGGCGTCCGGCCCTGTTTCAGAGCGCGGAGGCGTTCGCCCCTGCCTGCGACGCCTCCGCCACAGAGCTCTGCAGCCGCGTCGCCTTTGGATTCTCGGAGGCTGCCCCCAGTGCGCAGGCCTTCATCCAGAGCGTGAAAGAGTGCGAGATCTATGCGGCACCCTTCAAGACCAAAGTAGCGGCGTGGGCAGGGAAGTACGATCTGCAGACCACGTGCCGCCAGCTCAATATGTATAGCCTTCCTGCAGAGCCGCGGACCTCGGACTCGGTCGAGAAGGCAGTCACCAATATGCTCAAGGCATTCCAGGCTGTGCGCGAGGAATGGGATTTTTGGGCAACTGCAATTGCCCACAGCACCGTGGCCGTCGTGTCTGGCATGTGGCTGCTGCCTGGTGCTGCGCTCACGGTGCCAGGAGCATGGGCAAATCACTTGGAGCCGGTTCCCATGGAGTCTGAAGCAGAGAAGGCAGAGCTTCTGAAATATCCAGAAGATGGCAAACGCCTCCGTGCCCTGATCGTCTCGGAGATCCAGCGCCAGCACGGCGTCCTCGCCGCGAAGACTCCAAAGACCACGCCCGTGGCGGCAGGCGCAAAAACTGCCTTCAAAAAGGTATCCTTCGCTAGCGATTCGTCAGAGGAAGATCACCCGACCCCCGAAACATTTGAAAAGACGGAGGTGGAGCTGGTCTTCGACCTGCTGAGCGAGCTCTGCGACAAGGACATGCCGATCGATGCAGGCGATATCGCCAGCGAGCTATCCCACATGGACACAGTTAAGGATCGCCTCAATCAGTTGCTTGAGGTCGAGCCCGCTGCCGCAGATATCCTAGCGCCTCTGGTACCAGTGTTCAAGAGGCGCGGGAAGGACTTGAAAAAACTTCAGCAGCGCGAGCAGCAGAAGGTCCAAAGCACAGAGGCGGTCTTCAGCAACACAAAGAAGGACACGGCGAGGCGTGCG